GCTATTCATGAATAAATTAATAAATGGTCGCTCTTTAACGATTTTCGATTCCTTCAAAGTTTTAATTTTTTTTTTTCAGGCGAGACGTTCCAATGACCATCCCAGGGACCCAGTGTTGAGGCGAGTGATGGCCTCGCAAAAATCAACTGCGTGGACCAAACTCGGGCAAACAGACGATGAACCCGACGCCTCGGATGTACTCAAAGGTTTGACATGTTTGATATTTAAAACTTGTTACAACATTGGTTTGATTATCTTAGAATCTTCAAAGTAGTGCAAAGTTTCGAATTGTTATTCACTTCTATTTGCTCATTAAGCTTCCGTTTACTTACTGTACATTTTGTGTGTCAAGTCACCCGTTATTTCTTAGATTTCTATTCTCGTAGTTCTGTGAGTTTGCACACTGGGATGGATATAGTACCGTATATATAATTTATGATTTTTTTCTGATTCATATATTCTTAATACGTTTGCAGACAGTAATAGTTTCAGCAAGTAAATTTACAGTCGCTTGATTTGTGAATCGATTGTGATATCCGAAACGTTTATAAGGATAGTCAGATTATCATATTATCTTTATAATAACGAACGCTATAGCATCCACATCGAATATTAAGCTTCTATTTTACAAAATGTACCTGCACAAGATAAGAAAGATAAAATAATACGTGAATACCTAAAGACTCAGTTAGTAATAATTACAAAAACGTAAGATTATTTAAAATTAATTTCAAAATAATTGACTTTCCAATTTGAATGTTTATGCATCCACGACATTCTGCATCACAATGAATCAATGCTATAGCATTCACTTTTGCGAACTTGTTAGAATACATATATACCTTGCAATTTCACCATGTTTTTATTACAATTGATGTCTATTTAAAAATACGACATTTATTTCAATCCTTAATAATTAAAATGCCGACATAATGAAAACAATTATGAAAAATTTGCATACTAATATTAGTATTTTTAACTTCCCGTAAGGTAACTGAAAGTAATCGCAAAAAAATCTGAAATGAAAATTTTTATACATCTTTACGTTTGAAAGGTTTCTGAATGTTTTGACATACCTTAAAAAAATGAATGTGTGTGTGTGTGCGGATACGAAATTTTTGTCGACGATTTCGGGAATGCCGACCAACCGATTTGAATAATTCAAAAAACATTCGATTTGTATTGATAAGGAGACGTATTGATTAGTTTTTCGCGAAGGCAGGTCTAGCCGTTTCGAAGATACAGGGCAAAAGTGCCAAAAACGGTAACTCAATTTTTAAGAGAACGGAGCGTCCGCTTTTAATAATTCAAAAAACATTTTATACTTGTATTGACAAGATTAAGAACTGATTAAATTTTTGGGGAGGCAGGTCCAGCGGTTATGGACTCTCAATAAAAATAAGTTAAAAAAGGTTATCTGGCGGTCAAAATGTTTATTGGACATATGCACATCAAATTATCAGATATTTTATAGAGATTTTAATAATGTGTACACATTTTGGGTAAATTTTTTTAAGTTCCGTACCAAGATTTTTAATTACGGTACGGGAAGTTCCAGCAATTTGCCTTAAGGCACGATGCCATGCACCCCACTAGTTATTCAATCATTTCTAATATTTTCATTGAATTTTCAAAGCATTTTATTCAATTATTTTTAATTACAATAGAAGTCTATTTATGGTACATAACGAAAAATGAACGATATTAGGATTTAATTTGGATTACACAAACTTTTTTATAATTATTATCTACATCAAGTATTCTTGAAATATGAAATTTATAGAAGAGTTACATTAATAATTTATTATTGTGTTAATAATTTCATCAATTTGTGATTCGTAAAACTAAAAGTTGCGCAAATAATTCTTCATAAAGTCTTAATAAAAAATAAAAATAATAAAATAATGAAGTTCCAAGAAAATTAAATACTTCAAACAAAAGCATTTCTTAGTATTTATTTAAAATTTCATGTTCAGAAATTTGCATTCATCGATTTTGTTTAGCGATTTTTATTATTTGAAAAATTGTTGTGACTAATGTAAAAAATTATAACTGAAAATGTAATTTCATATTCATATTTCATACTCTTCTTCAATTTGAGTTACTTTCTGTGCATCATGTAACCTATACCTGTACAAACTTTTTCTTAACTTTTTAAAATATAATCCAAACCTCTTTTTTCTCAGAAGCTACTTTGAAATTGGAAATTGTATTATGAACTTTCTTTATAATTATTTATGGTATCAAAACAGAAAGCTGGTTCGCATCTTACAAATTAAAAATTATCAGATCTCAAGTAGACTTAAAAACAAAACAATGTTTTATTTGTTGAATACTAATTTAATATATACGTTGATAAATGAAGAAAAGAATACATGCAAATCTTAAATTTTACCTTATTCTAAATTATATATAGATTCAATTTTTATATGCATCTATTTATTTATTTGGATATTGTTATGTTTTATATCACTCCAAAATTATTACTAATATAGTAATATAGACAGGGCGTTTTTAATGTTCCTCCATTCACTTATAAAAAGCCCCTTTGATGCTTTATTGAAATTCCCATTCATTTTTGTAAAGTATGCTAATTTATTTTTAAGTGATTTTTTAATATCCAGAATGAAAAAAATCACAGCACGTCAAACCCCGATGAATATGGCAAAAAAACAGAAATGTAAACAATATTACGTAAATGTCCCATAACTTTAGCATATTACTTGGCACAACAATTTTTAATTAAAATTTCCTTCATTACTTCAACGTTTTCATAGATTTTGGATGTGTTGGGGATTAAAGGGTTTTGCCATTGCTTTTGTTTCAACTATGGGTATGGTGATTTAATTTTTTTAAATGAGTTTGTAAATTTTAATGTATTCGGTTCATTATGTCACTTTAAGTTAACATTCCAAAATATATATAAACAAAATCAGTACGCAAATTCGCCGGCCAATTCTGCCTTAAAATAGACCAGTGTTATGGCAAGCCTATGTTACGCTGCGTTTTTCATATAAAATGGTACTAAAAACTGTCAAAATGTTATGTGATTACTGTGGTCAAACTGTCAATTTGATGTTATTGTCCTTATTTTTATGGAACTTTTTTTGGCGATATATATCATGGTCTTATAGAACTTACTGAAATATTACGGCCTTACGGCAAGTAGTTTAATTTTAAAAATTCATCAAAGTTTAAGAAAATGAGTAGTTTTTTTGACGTTTGCTAAAATTAAAATTAGACGATTTACTTGGTATAACAATGGAGTATCCAGTCTTAATGTACATATTAAACCATTAAAGTCATACGGAAACTGGTTTAAATATAAAAATGGTTGACTTTTGAAAATTTGCTTTTAGAAAATACTCCTAATTAACGTGTTCGTTCGCTTTCAATTATGTGTAATGAATCCACTCGGAATACTTTTAATCACTCATAAATTAAATTATTTTTATTGATTAAATCGATTATTTACACATATTTTAATTATTTGTCAAGCGTTATTATATTTTGAATATCCTCCATACATTTGTATTATCTTGTTTTATGTAAAATATTTGAATATTTTTAGATATTGCCACGTGAGCTTCTTATTTATCTAAAAATATATCATACGTCTTATTATGTCGTTACATTTTTTGACATTGTTCCGACTTATAAATAACACAGTGTAAATATATAATGTGTTGTTCCTATGTGAACATGAAAAATATTACTATCACGCAGGCTCTCTTTTTTATAGCAAAATTATTAAAATAATTATACATGTCAATTTTATCTAGGTTTTCAAATTTATAATTAGTAAAAAATCTAAAATGAAATTTTTTTATATATCTTTATCTTTCGGAGTTTCTGAACATTTTAGCATACTTCAGAAAAAAAATGGATGATAGATACAATTTTTGTAAACGTTTTCGGGAGCACGTATCAACCAATTTGAATGGTTCAAAACATGCAAAAACAAACAATATATATATATTTTTTTTAAATTTCATTGGCCTCCGCTTTACAGCATTTTTAGCCACTTACATTATTCAAATTATTTTTCAGCATATTGTATACAATTCTTACATATGTATTTCTTATACATTTGTCATATATATACTATCTCTTCTATATCTCCTAATATTACATTCAATTTTCTTATGTTCTTCTCATCTTCTAAACTAAACTTCTTTTTTCCTTTTTACTTCTAATACAATTTTTTTTGTATTCTACAAATTAACAATTCTTAATCTAGATTATTACTTTATATTTTTAATTCTGGTATTGCTAGTGATTCGAACCAAATTCCTCCAGCGTAAAACAAACAATATTAAACATTTGATTTATTTGAGTTTTTGGCAAAACCAGACCTAGGAATAATATATTTTGTCGTTAAAGTTTGAGAGTGATCAAGGTAACAGAATTGAAATTTATTTAAACAGATTTAATTTATGTATATTTTTTTTTCAATATGTTTAATAGAACAATAAGTATTAAACCTTGGAGCTAGGTGGTCAATTTCTTCCCCCAAATCGAAACATTAATAATTTTATATCTCCATCACCATGCAAAAGTGCAAGCTGAACTATAATTGCTTATAATGCTTTTGTTAGATATATTATAAATATAGCTATTAAGTTCTGCAAAATCTCAGTTAATTTGATGTATTCATTCCTTCGATGAATAATTGAAGGAAAATATAATTATATAAGAAAATACTCCACTTACAAACTAAATATTCTATTCATGAACAACAAAACTTAATTGAAGTAACTTTTCCCTGAATTCAATAAATGCAAAGCACGAAGAAACAGCGATTCATTCCTTCAACCTTCCTTTGAATATTTGCATTTTGCAACTTCTCTATATCATGATTTCAAATTCTAATTTTATTCATTATTATGCAGATGGTTACGACTACTTCTTCATCGAAGGCGGAGGCGGAGGACCCGAATCCTTATTGCGGGCCCTGGGAATCGGCTCACTGCCGAATACGACTTATTACGACATAGATAATGGCTTAATATCGAACAATACACTATTAGCACAAAATTTATCGATACAAAATGGCAGTTTTATCGCAGAAACACCAAATGATGGCAGCCAGCCGCTTGCCGAAGTTATTGTGATGACAGTCACTTCTGTCGTATTAGGTCTTATGATATTGATCACTGTTATTGGTAAGTTATACAAGATGTATTTAATGTTAGCTAAACAAATATCCTTATGTAAGATAAGATGAAATTGCTTTTGAGATTATATTGACGATAAAATTGTAGCTATTCCATAATGTATCAATCAGCAATAAGATTTGGTGGTAATATTTTCGTCTATTGCGCTATGAAGGAATTGTTGCTTTAAATTACCTGATGAAAATTTTTCAAATTCGTGCTCGACTATTCATTCTCTTTTATCAGAAATTTATTTCTTCGGTATTTTTTCTATATGTGTATTTGAATAATTCTGTTTTTTTTTTATTTTATTTTCAATAGCAATCAGAATACATGACAATTCTATAAGCTATTTGACTTATGTCATTCACTCGCACACATACACACACACTTTCAAACACACATATAAATTAACCTGAAAAAAATTATATTGTTAGAGAATCACTTCAATAAGTGATTTTACTATTCTGTTCATATAAGATTGTTGTAGTTTTAACGTTCCTCCATATTATCTTTGGGCAGCTTCTTCTTCACTTTTCTCCTGAATTTGATGTTGACTCTTGTATTGACAGAGACTAATGATCAAATCTAAAGCATCAAAATTAACGCTGTGCCTGAAAATGGGCCTAATGGTCGGAGAGTAAAAATGTTCAATTATAATTAATTTAAATCAATTAATTAATAAATTTAATAATTTTTTTAATTATACTTTCTTAAAGTAGAAGACAAAAGATGTATACCAACCATGAATCTTCCTAATTCTTACGATGTCGCAATTAATTGATATCAATCTTTAGTAGATTGATCATATATCAATATTCATAATAAACGTTTTTTTATCGTTAACTTTATTAGTTTGAGCTTTTTTATTTGTTTTTGATAATAATGGTAATAAATAATGAATGGTAGTCCGCCCGAAGGGCTATACCGCAGATCTATGGTGTGAGAACCACCACAAATCAATGTAATTCTAATATTGTCTAGTAGGCTCATAAGTAAATAAAAATTTTTGGCAGATGACAGTTTTCAATGCGATGTCTTAAATATTTTCAACGTCAAACAATTGCATATCGTTTTTTGTAATTTGTTCCTCTTTCCTCGTCCTTTTCCTTCCTCGCCTTTCCCTTCCTTGTCCATCAGTTTTATTACCCCTATCCCCCACCCCTTTTATACATTTTTTATGTATTTTTCTTTCCAAATATCTACTTCATTGGCTTTCAATTCCCTGTATTTCCTCTTCTCACGTATTTATTGATTTATTTATTTATTTATTTATTGATTTATTTATTTATTTATTTATTTTCACGTAAATCGTCAACCGTCTGCATTCTTCTTCCTCCATGCCCTTCTATTTTAGCTTACACTACCTCATGTATGAGGCACTTTTTGGCAGAACGAATCCGACTCAGTTTTCTTTTCTTTGAAGAATAGTGCTTAGTAGAGTTTTTTCTTCCCCACTCTTGATACGTTCATGATACCTGAATATAATTTTTAAGTATATGTTATTTATTTGTTTCATAGGATGTATTGTTCTTTTTACGTTTTTAAAGTCTATGGGGTAAAAAAGGCAGATGACAAACTTTAGAACAGTAGAAAAATATATTTTTATAACTAATATATGAATATAGTTAATAATAGTTTGCTATCTATGTTTTAGCAGAATTGATATTAGGTCGAACATGTATTAATTCAGAAAAATTATTTAAAATTTTAATTCTTATAAGTGAATCAACTTTAGAACTGATTTTTACTTGAAATTAATTTCGAACAATTTCAATTAACCTTTATCACAACGTTTTGTAAATACTTTTTATATTTGTTTCAAACAACTTTAAAAAGTAACATCTATAACCTTTACAAAGAAATTAATTATCGATTATGACAATTATTTCCGAGTGATTGAATTTTCGATTTTTTCATAATTTCGTAAAAGTTTTGAACATTAAATGTGGAATGATATTAAAAATTTAGTATGATATTTACAAAATCGGAAATTCAAATAATGAAAAAGTTAACTTGAATTCAAAGTCGAAATTATTTTAAAATTCATATTGTTTCGGATATGCACGTGCACACACGCATTGGAGAAAACTTCACGAAAGTTAGTTCGAATTTAATTTAAATTTTATTTAATTCTGCATAGATTTTTAAATTATGTTAAGCGTTACTTTGAATATTAGTACTATCTATTGCATAAAATACTGATACAAAGTTTCATACTATTTTAACATATATTTTATCCATAGCATTGAAATTTATCATTAATTCCGCTGTATTATGCCAGGGAATAATTTACATATATCATTCTGTTAGTAGGGTAGTGTTATGAATGGAACAGAATTGGATGGTATATCTTTGCCCATAAAGGACCACGAGATTACTACTGCCCTTTTTGTTAATTTCTCCCTCAATTTCGAAACAAACATAAATCTTAGTATCCCTTCGCACAAAAATGGAAGAGATTTTACACAGATGTGAAAGTGTGATAAATTAATGAATTTGGGCTATTATTCGATTTTCCTATTAGGGTAGAAAAATCATTCATGTCTTTGGTTTTATTTTTACTTCTTTTTCAATTCGTTTCTTTTTTGTGTAGATTTTGAAATCTAACATTTTTCAATAACAATTTAAATTAAATTAAAGATATGGAATGTAGTTTATAGAATACAATAGTTTTTTATCTGATTTTTTATTCGTACATTCGAGAAAGTAAGTATGTAGGTTTTTGCAAATGTTCTTCTAGTTTTGTATATATATATATATATATATATATATATACAAAGCATCAATAAATATTGTCGATAAGTATCATCGCCGAACTACAATTTAGTACATGAGAGCTTTTTACGGCGCCACAAACAATTAGAGATATGATCTGGATTTGCATTTTAATGTATATTTTCGTAAACGTTTTTCTATTTTATTGAAAGTTTCTCTATTATTACGATTTTGTTCCATTTCGCTGATTTTTATCAAATGATTATATCATTTACATAGACATTATGTTTATTGTGCCAATACTCAATAAAAAATTATAAAGTAATCTATTGATTTCAATTCATTATTTTCAAAAGCATCGGAATAATAAACGTCGGTTTAATTTTATTGTCTATTGAAACCGCGACTTACACATTGAAATAAAACTTTATTTTATGTAGCAAAATATCATACTTTGTAAAATTGATCTGGTGGAGTGCACTATAAGTAGATACTAGGCTCATAAAAAGATAACTAATTCCAAAGTTATAGTTTATTATTATATTACTCTCGAAAATAGCAACAAAATTAATCCATAGAAAAGAATGAAAATGTCAAATAATTTTGGAAAAAGAAACATTTAAAGGTACACATACAGAATGATTTTATGTAAGATTTGCATTTATTTTTTGTTGATAGTTAGGTTATATCTCTTTGTCGACGTCATATTGTTCACGTTTTTTTCATTTTATTTTATTTATTTTGGCTTCCTATTTACACCATTTTGCCATTACATTTATGTATACAGGTATAGCTGTTCTATATAATACATTGGTACTTATACAATAATGATTATGCTATATGTTAATTTTGTTATTACTTATAAAATTATATTATAAAATATGGTAATACAAATTTCACTTTCAAAATTTTTTGTTAAACTATTTAATAACGCATTTAAATAAAATAGACTGGAATCTTTGACCTTATAATACATGTATTATAATATTATAATAAATATTATAAGGTCTATGACTAGAATGAAATAAAAACTCAGAACATTCTTTTACTCGGTGATTTATGATTGAAACATATAAAATGATTTTACTTCAATAAATTATAATTAGTTTTAGTGATATTGCAACATTTAACCAATATGGTTATGTATAAATTAAAAAACTCTTTTCCATTTAATCCATGCTTTGTTTAATTAATTACCTTATAACGTATTACTGCAAAATTTAGTTCTTTAGTCTAGGACTCTACTTACTATTAGTCAAACAACCAATATTAAATTAACTAAATTGAAATATTCAAGTAACGTCGTTTTACTGATCTCTTCGACTTTAATGAGGAAGTTTTAAATGTTATTTTTTAATTATTTTTGAGGAATATTGTTTGATTGCACCTCTTGATATAATTTTTGTTAGAAAATCATTCGTAGTTTTGAACTATTTTATGGATTATCTAATATACAGGTTTATAAACCTGGACGTATATCTAAAACACGATTGCTCGTTTTTTATTTCAGTAGGTGCTTCGACATTTTATTTTTCCTACTTTATATCTTTACATGTTTTATTTTAGTTTAGGATCTATAAAGTTTTTAGTTCTTTCGGTTTCAAATAGTCGAAGCTACGAGTAACAGTTGAAGTCGATTTCAATCTACCAACCTCCATTACTTCGATCTATATAGATGAATACGTTGATTTATTCTCAATTTATATTTATTTATTAATAAACGTCAATTTTGAAATTGTATAATTTAAACTAATAAATAAGCAACATTAATTAACAATCTACAAGCTTTGTCAGTAAAGGTTTTGTCAGAGTAATTGTCTTCTAATATCTGATTTCTTTCTCAAAATATTGTTGAAAGCAATTAAAAGCTCATAAAAGCATACTCCTACTATTCATATACCAGTAATTCAATGAACATCCATTGCTTTAATATATTTATATATTTATTATTTTTAGAAATAACAACCACAAAACCTTTACATAAAAACATTACAACTTTGCGGAACATGGCGAGTCATTCCTGCCAGGGAAAGTTTTCCCTAATTGCCGAAAGCAAAATGTTACATCTAATAATTAGATTAACTTGTTATAAAGTTTTGTTAATATCATTTTCAGAACATAATTTATCACAACATTTATTTCCCATTCTATAGACAAAAGTTAAATCGTTTACAGAAAATATCAGTTATATTGGCCGAATCAGCTTTTAATGCTCATATAGCCTATATGAACAGCCGGGTTTATCGAGGAATATTTCATTGATGAATGGGCACCCTGTTATTGTACAAATATCGCTACTTCATCTTGTCGACCACATTTTTATGGCCCGAAAGAAAACAGAAATAAATATAAATGTATTACACAAATTATCAGTAGTCAAACACACAAATGAATTGGTCTTTTTTTGAATATAACACAGAGAACATAGTATTTAGAGTAGGACAGGGCACAAAATTCCAATTTGACTTTTAGTAATAATACTGACTAAACTAGATAAACTACAACACAACACATAACGCGTATCAAACAAGCAACTATAAAACTACGTATAGAAAAATTTCCAGTTGATTCCTAAATATAGAAATACGTTTTTTAGCTATTTCTCTAAAAATTGTCATCTCTTCCTTTTACTCCATAAGCTATGTAAAATGGGACAGCCAGGGGGCAAACAGATATAATATATTATTTTTTAATTTAAAGAAATTTTATGGAATAATAGCGAAATTATTTAACCAATGCAAAATAAAAGTTGTATGAGTACATTTTTACAAAAATTATATCATATAGTATAACATTGATCTGGTATTTTGTCAGAAACATTTAACGGCAAAGTTTGGATAACTATTAATTTAATTTTTCCCTTTTAAGATTGCTTCCTTTATTAACTCCATTTACTTATAAAGTTACTATATTGGTCATTTCCTATTTAACCCAGTGGTTTCCAACCTTTTTTGCACCGCGCCCCCCTGCTCTAATGAAAAAAAATTGTTACGACACTCCCTCCCCCTTAATTTTATCAACAGTTTAATTTTGTAAATACTTTACTGGTATTATCAGACTATAAATTAATAGGTGATATTAGGTAAAAATATGCATAAAAACTATTTGTTTCAACAGTTTAATTTTATAAATACTTAAATGGTATTATCAGACTACTAATCATAGACAATATTACTTGACATGAGCCTGAAATAATATCTATTATTATTGATTACGGTTTGCTTATGAATAAATAAATAAAAAATAAAAAAATAGGTAAAAATATGCACAAATACTAATTATTTTCTGTTAATTTTTTAATATCGTTCTAAAAATGTTGGATTATTTTCGATAATGGTATTCTGGCAATAGATGTAGGCGTCCTCCATAGTCTGGCGCCCCCCTGAGGAAGCGCGCCCTACAGGTTGGAAACTACTGTTTTAACCCCACCACAGTTGGTCCTTTTTATCGTACCCACATGTAAGATTTTATTGAGGTTATATAAAAAATATCTGTTGAATCTAAACTAAAATTAACAATACTGTATGTTCGTACACAGTCTCTCCTTCAATTAACTCAGGTTGTTAGGTTTTAATTTAACGTTTGTAGCTGTGGACTGTATTAAACACTTGTTTATTGGTATAATTTATTTATTTGTTGCAAGTTCTTATTATACTAATGATTTGTCACTAAATTCTGATTGAAAAAGATATATTTATTGATCATTTATTACTTTAGTTCTAGAAGTAGGAAAAATAAGTCTTATCCAAATTATCTACCTCTTCTACAGGGTATCAACAATTTGGTGTAAAAGCTCAATGGCATGAAGTTTGCCGCTTTCATGACCAATATAATAAAAGGAAAATACATCCAAACAAATACATCTTCTAAAATAACGTATACCAAAAGTATATTAAGGTCTCGTAAACTAAACAACAGTGCTCAAAACCTATCAAAAATTATCTGTGTTTAATTTCATATTGTAATCCAGTAATTAAAATTTTTTTATAGCGATAATAAATGTTGGAATCAGTAATAATATACTAAATTGATTAATGTTTGTAATCTCTGTAATCTCTATAAAGTATTTCAAACCCATCAGACTTTAAGGATTATAATTTCACAAGTACTAAAGTTAGCAAATTCGCTAACATTTCATACGGTAAAGATACATTTATATGTTACTCGATGCTTCAAATTTGAAAGAAAATTCTGTACATCAAAGTTGGGCTATTACATGTATTCAAACAGCAACTTTTGAACTTTGAAGAATTTTATAATTCTCAGAATCCTTTTCAGAAAGTACAGATGTTCAACTGAATTGCTACTCCGTCATAGTTACATGTGCAACATATATAATATTTCAATAAGATCCATTCCTTGAAAAATTGTATCGAGAAACTTCAAAAACATTACTGCCAGAACAAAACTTCGAGTTTGTATTAATGTTTGTATAACAAACCCAATGAGAAAAATTTCTAGCTCAGTCTTTTAAAGTTTTACTTGAAACGACTTTTGATACTTGGAACGATAACTTGATACGTCGAACAATTCTTGGCATATTTTTCCGATTGTTGAAAATATCGAGAAAATATTTCTCTAGAAATTATTTGAACTAGATATGGGTAAAATGTTACCTTTCGATAAAGGACCTATGAGAAGCATTACATTTTATGATACAAAGTAAACTGTTTTTATCAGAAATTTGAATTGCTTACATGTAATAAAGCAACATGAATTTTTCCTTTACTTTACGGTAGTTTATTCATAAGTTTAATATTCAATCTATCAATTGATGGAAGAATCTCATAGTTTATGAGAAAAGCTGTCATTAATCCATGCTTAGAATAATGATTGGATGAGATCGAACTGAAGTTAAACTTTCTGTTCATAAATTATGAAGCCACTTGATGGCTTATAACAAATTTGCTAGGTATGAAGCAATATGTAAAACGGTCTTAAAATATATCTTAAAAACCAATTAATTAGATTTTTATTGTCGAGTATATTCTTACTGAATAGGGATCAATTTTTAAATGAAAACTTAGTAATTGGTAGATGGAATGTTACCTATAAAATAATTTTATTATGTATTGTATGTATACTTCTTCCTATAAAGTGGGCTTCCATTAATCACCTGATTGACTTTTCAAATATTTTAGACACCCCTCCACCTTGGTGATACGTGTGATATGCAAAATTATCCCTCCCTCTCTCACCATACATCACGTGTATTTTTAGTTACGAGCAAAAATTGTAAAATTTTGAATCTTTTTTTTAAAAATGTTTTTTTTATTTTTTTTTTTAAATTCAGGTAAAAAATAAATACACGTGATATCTTACTATACCCCTTCCTTCTCTATGTGATATTTCAAGATTTTTTGTCAAATTCCCTCCCTCAAGTGATTAATGGCCGCCCCATGAAAGTAAGAGTTAATAATTAGTTTTTAACAATTTATTTATTTCTGAAGTTTAATGATCTTTTTATTAAATATTTTTCAGGAAATGTGTTTGTTATAGCAGCTATTATTCTAGAACGAAATCTGCAGAATGTGGCAAATTATCTAGTGGCCTCGTTAGCGGTGGCAGATCTTATGGTTGCATGTTTAGTAATGCCTCTTGGTGCTGTTTATGAGGTAATTAATTAATTAATTTCAAACAAAGTCAGAAATAATTTCCATATTTTAATTTAGTTATATACATTAATATCATATTTTTTCAAATGTATGCAAAAAGAGTTCGAAAAGAGTATTAAAGGAATCCGATAAAAATCCTATCAGAATTCGATGAGCTTTATAGAAATCCAATAGGAAACCAATTATAGTAGTATGGTAGGGTTCTGTTGAGATCTTATATAGGAATCTGAAAACAATTTTATAAAAATCTTTAAAGAATTTAGAAACAATTTAATAAGATTTGGATATAAAGAATGTTGTAAGAATACTATATATCCCCGAAAAATTAAAATTTTGAAATTGTTTATTTTTTTGCAAATTATTGACCACGACCTAACACTTGCGTGTAAGGTTCACACGCGATTTAAGTAAAACTTATTTGCTACTGTACAAGATGGCATTTCAATAAAAATAAATACATCATATAACAATTTTGTATATTATTTATTAGTAACACTGTGTTTGAAAAACTTCATGTAATTAAAATTAACATACTTTCATTGACAAATGGTATTTTTTTTACTTTTTCACTGGCGATATAATATCATTCTTTAAACAGCTGTAATATCTGTTTTGCCTAAAAAATATTTTCCATTTCAATAACATCAAAAATTTATAGAAACTACGAATAATATAGAAATTATTTCAATAAACTTATGTTCCATTCACGGCGCAAATGCTGCATTTGTTTTGTTATTTTCATTATAATTGTTTAGGAGGGACAGGGTAAAATATTCTTCTGATTCAGGAATTTTTCATTAAATCAAGATTTATACTACGATGTAACTATAAAATGTTTATATATTTATGCCGGTTTTCTTTGCATTAGTTGGTTGGTTGATGCAACGACAGATCTGTATTCACATACGCGACGACTAATCACAATCGACCCGTATAGAAATGATAACATCGAGAGCGAATGACGAGTCATTGGCACTCCACTCTTATCTTATCTGCCGTAACGCACTTCCGTTGCATTTGTACGGAATTACACTATCACTGAGAAAGTTATCACTGAGAAAGTGTAAAATTGTACAGACATTCAATATTTTTATATAAATTACGTAGAATGTTTGGTATCAGTTTCTACTATTCCTTTTCATTAAACACTTAATATTCTAAATTGTATAAAAAACAACTTATATAAAAGTTTAATTTCTAATTATACCCAGTTTATTTGGCGAATGATCTACATAAAAGTTACATGTTAGAAAGGTTTTCTACAAAGGGTCTAAACGGTACTTAATTTGTTTATCTATCCGTCTACTCGTCCAACTACCCATATAAAGTTTTGAAATTCACACAAAGTATGCAAATAGACTCTCTGAAACCTAAAAACTTTGTTAAATCATATTTTACAGAGGACTCCTATTGTAACTATGATAGACGGGTGAATATTCAGTTAAGACATAGTTGGAAATAGTTTCGTATAATTGAGATTTTTTTTAAAGAAATTTATTAAATTGGCTAATTATTACAGGTTTGTTTTTGATTCCATACTACAAAACTAAATCAATATGATTAGTAGACATTCAAATTCTTAAAATTGGATATTTTATCTTATAATCTTATAGGCAAATTAAGTAAAAATTATTGTTACATAAAAAGTGAAAAGCACGAAATGTAGGGATAGTTCATAATTTTATATGAAAAAAGTTAGTGGAGGGGAATTAATGTATAATTGAAGTAAGAATAAATAAAAGAAATTGTAAGATATTTTTGACAGTAATTTGTAATTAGGTTTTTAATTATTTGTTTTATTTGTGTGCATACCTTTTGCACACAATATAGAACAATATACGATTAAGTCTAAAAACAGCAAATTACTGTTCCAGTAAAAAGGAATCTCATCTAGATTCTGGTCCCCACTTTGGCTAATGTGGGTTAACTGCATGATACTGGTTTTACTTGAGTTAATTTTATTTGGTCAATAAGGGACGTATCTAGGCATACGAGTTAAATTTTTTTCACTATGGTGATAGATTCTAGAACGGTATCTTACGAATGCTGTTCTTTCATGAGCAAAAAAATCTGGTAATATGAACCTAATCTGTCTTAGGCATCATTTTCAAATGCGTTCATAATTTTATGAATCAAATAGAACCGAAACATTTCTAAATTTTTTTATTTGCATAGTTTTATTGCCAATCAAAATAATATACATTTTTTAAGACAATATGCTGGGTGTAAATACTTATAAAACTAACATTACCGAATAGATTATATAGTATTGTTTTACATCTACGATCCATTAATAGTGCTTGAAAAATTTTATTTCCGATATGATAATTTAGCGGTATAACATTTTTTTATGTTATTATATACATAAATTATTAATTTATTTATTTTAACAGTCTGGGTGTGAACTTTGTGAATCGATAATCATATGAGAGATTAATTAATAATTTGCAATGTTTTGCGGAATTTTGTTATTATATTTTTGATATTTAGCAAATATTGATGGAATCTTGTCTTTGGATGAAAAGCTTTGGCTGAATCGCATTTATGGTAGAATATATATATGTATATATATATATATATATATATATATATATATGAATTTAATTTTCCTTCTTAATATTTATAACAAATATCTTTATTGTTCATTTTCATCCAAATCTGATCTTCTCCAAATCTAATCTTGTTTGTCTCTTTACTTCTAATTTTATTCAACTCAGCATATCAAAATCTGTACAATTTTAAATAAACTATTATTCATTTTACTTCTCACTTCTATTTTTATTTTATCTTTAAACGCGCTTTTCTCGAAATAGCATTTTCCGAATTTGCTGCAGCGATTACTCAAAAACAAATGATCTGATCACTACCAAATTTTTTTTACATGTTCTATATATAGTTCTCCGTGAAATGAAATATCGATTTTTTGATCGGATCCAATTTTGGCAGCCCAAAAACGACCAAAATGTTGGGTAAAATTCGACTTTTTTTTAAAAAAAAACGCTGTCATTTTGTCAATTTTTGATTTTTTTCATCGTAGTTCATTTTACAGACAATATTATTAACGAGATTTTTTTTTAATTTCATCCACGTAGAAGGCCGGAATCACTGCAGCAGTGAAGGGCTTTTTTTTGTCGCGCCGTTGGAGATCGACGATAACTTAAAAAATATTTGAATTTTTTCTTCAAAAATTTTACTATATATTTTTAAAACATGTATAAATATATTCCTAAAATTTTGAAATAATTGATAAAGTAGTTTTTTTAATATAAATTTCCAAAAATCACCTTTTTTAGGCGGTTACACTAGTTGTGCCCCTTAATAGCGATTTAAGATAAAAAGGGCCAGAAAAGAATTCAAATATAATTAGATCAGTGCTCTTATGTTTTTTTTAATTTTTTGCCAATTCACCCCGAATTTTAAATTTATATTCGTATTCAGCATTGAAATCTAAAATGGAAAACATATGCCCTACGCCCAATACAGACAACTTTTTTGTGTTATTACCAGCGTGTTGGTACAGAACCCTGACCACCCTAGAATATTGTCCTGTAATGTTTGTGATGCTACAGATGCTGCTGTCAATATTTTATGCTCTATTGATTTATGTTATAAGAAATGCTTATATATGTTATATTCATGCGCTATTTGCAAGAGGCTATAAAAGAACGTCCATATCTGGGGGCGCAGTTGCGAAGACACAATTGACTGGCGATGTAGCGTGGTCTATATGTGTGTAACTATGCCCTCTGTGCTCGTCGCAATGGTTCAAGATTCCAGGCAGTTTGGACTGCCCTCCAGGGATCTTAGGTCACATCATGTGTGGTCAAACTTTCCATCCGGAAAGACGAACTTCCCGAAACCTCTGTGGCCCTTCCGCTACGACTGAATGAGAATATTTAGGACTTGATATATTAGTTGTGATTGGATGTAATATTATGATCTAGAAAATGTTTTATAAATACAAATGGGTTCTTTTAGAGCACCGGGTTTGAGAAAAATATGATTTGCAAAAAAAGAGTGCTATAACGCCAAAAAGTGCATTTTTATATTAACATTTTAAAAAAGTTGATATTTTGAGTTTCTGATAACACTTGCGGTCCGTTTAATAAACGTTTTTGTGTATAAATAAGACTACGAACAAAACTATTAACTACAATTAAATAATATTTATCTAAAATATCCTATTAAATGTAATTGAGCATCAACTGCCAAAACCTTTTTACATTTGACGTATGAGCCGCTGTTGGGGTTTGTCGGTTTTCAAGAACCGGTTTTTAAAACCGGTTTTTTGGCGAAAATTATGGAATTCGAAAATCGTTGTTTTAGTGAAAAAAGTCGGTTTTCACTGTATTAATGGAAAATGACAAATATAGCCAAATATAAAAGATAGATGAAAGCGTTTTGATCTTGAAATCATATAGTTTCAATAGCATTTAATATCTGTTTTGTATATATTAATATAGATTTTTATACTAGTATATATATTAATTTAAATCAGTGTGACTTCTTCTTGAGGAAGTAACTTTCTCTACTCAAACTTAAAAAAAAGAGTTTTAAACACTAGAAGCCACAAATTAAGGAACAAAAAACCTAGAATTATTATATCAGGCTTTAAAAACAATTAAGCATAATTTGGTCGCAAGTATGAGAGTATTTTCTATTTCAAAAAATTTTGTGAATAAACAAAGAACAAGTCTAAATAGTAATTCGATAGACGTTCTCAATTTTTTTAAATCATGTTTTATCAAACAAAAAACAATTAGAATGTTTAAAATTAATTACCTAAAAGTATTCGGAACAGAAATAAAAGTTTAGCTTAATTGTTTTTAAAACTAAAATTGATATTAACAAGTATGTATCAACATGTATCTAATATTTTTTTATTTGTTTTTATTTAATGAATTTTTTATATTTGAAAATGTATTATTTTTATTTATTCGAAAACTTTCCTTTCACTATCATACAAATATTTTCATTTTTATAAGTGAAAATGATGCATG